CAGTCTATGAATGTGACCTGACTTTACAGGAAACCAGGGACCTCTAACTAACTAAAATAAAATTTAATTCATACATATTGACGCTAGTACTAAAAGGGGCGTATGTGTGTGAAGGGAAAGGTGGGCATGTATATAAGCACTCAACAGAAGCAGAGCTACATGAAGGTGAGAACTGATGAGCTGTCCAAAAGTGGCACTGCTTTTTCCTTATGTCCAAGCTGTTGTGTGCATGATATGTTGTTATGTTAAGCCATCCCACGTGCAATCTGGTTTGGTTTGATTTTTAAGAGTCTCACACTCTCTGGGTCAGGAGAACATTGCCAAAAAAAAAAAAAAACCTTATATAATAGTGACAGGATTAGACTCTTCTCCATTTGCATCTCTTTGAGCTACTTGCAGCTGAAGTGATGGTCAGACTCTCCCACAGGTTCAGGGAGGAAGATGAATGTGGGTAATAGAAACATTTGGTGAAAATAAAAGATAATATGGAAAAAAGAAATTGGCTGGATTCCTTAGAAGCTCATTTCCAGACATTCTAATAGTACAAATTTTTTAAGCATATACTGTTCCTGTAAGGAAGCTGTAGCCTTGTTTTGGAATGGTACTGCTCCACTATAACACATTTGCAACCTTTATAGTTCACTAATTAAATTATTTATTGGGGGATTACTTTAGAAATTCCCCTAAAACTGGCAGTAAAGGAAAACATATACACACACAATGCATAAGTGATTTACAGGGAGTGGTCTCCTTTAAGTTAGGTAGCAAAATAATCATTCCTTCAGATTAGATGGTTAGTTTTAGTGACATGTATACTAAACAGTTGCCATATAACACCTCCCTGTAAACAGATACATTGCAAGTTGTCATTGCTATTTGTGATGTAAAAATTATTGACAAATATACTGAAAGAATGATCTGTTTTCTCTTTCAACTGACTGTTCTTTCAGGATTGTGAGGGGAATAGCAAGCATATCTGTAATTAAAGATAGCACACAATTCCTCTGTGTTATCATTTTACCTACAAAACCCCAGGGTAAAGCTTTAGCATGAAAAGAAACACATATGGAACTGCTGATGGGAGTATGGCTTAGAGAGAGAAACAATTTTGAGCATATATCCTAAAAACAGAAAAAAAAAAAAGAATTCTTCTCGTCCCTCTGTCTACTCAATATCCTCATATAATATTTATCTCCAAACCGAGTGTTGACCTAAAGCTTCTCCCAGACTGTCATCACCTCCTGTTATGATCTAGGATGAGAGGACTGCCTGTGATCACCATTCGTTGTCTGCAGTGGGCAGGAAACCTTTGTAGTACCTGGCGTCATTTAAGGATTTCCCTTCCACAAAGGTCAGGCTAAGGCAGTGAGAATGTCTTCTGCTGACTCTTATGGGACCCTGGAGATGACGGAGCCAATAGGGAAATGTGAGCTCTTATGAAAACATCATACTTTCACTCAAAACATGAAAACTAGTCCTGAAAAGCTGCACTGAGGTGTTGATGTTTTTCAGACAGAGAAGGAAAAAGGTATACACAGTACCAAGAAATTTTTACTGAAGATAATATGTTTAAGAGAAATTTGCTTTTTCACAGAAACTGACAACACTCTAAAATTCCTTAGTATGTTTTCAGCAAGTCCGCCTGTTGTGGCCATGCCTTGCTCAGCAAGGGTTGCAGAAGTAGGACTGGCTTGAGCAGGCTCAGAAGTCTGTCCCACCAGAGCTGGCTGTGAGAGCAGGCCATCATCCAAATGTTGGCCAGACTTGAGGGCAGGCTTGTGACATGACATATGCCTTTGGTATCCAGCTTAGAGCATGGACTAGTCCTTCATATAAATTAGGATAATCTAACTACTAACATCACTGACTTTTCCTGTATTAGATAGCCATAGCTATCCCTTTTGGTTTTAAATCTACTCATTTATGACCCTGGATTTAAATTTTTTCAAAGTTTAGGAATATTTAGATCAAGGATTTTTGTTCTGACCAATCTTTATATTTTAATATAACACATATGCACTTTTGCCAGTTATATTAGGTAGCAACCCCCATACCTGTACCTTAATTGGAACAACTGAGCACCAGTTCATTCCACTCCAATTTATTAATATGCCTAGGTAACTCCCAAAGGGAACCAGGCATAGATTTTAACAGGAGCACGGAAAAACATTTGAGAACACAATGACAATCTGCCATGTGACATCCTTTAGACACCATAATGGAAAAGATTGTGGAAATTTTGTGTGCCCTTTATGGAAAATAATGAAGTACAGAAAATGTATGAGTAGAGCACTGTCAGTGAAACTGTGCAATCAGATTATTTTTCTACCAGACTCTAACTCCTGCTTCATGATGCATAGCGTATATCACAACCTAGTATTTCCCAGTAGAGCCCATAACAGTGAGAACTATTGATTAAATGTTAACCCCTTGACTTGGAAAGTTGAAATTTCACAAAGTGCATCCCATTGCCAGCAATGGTAATATGTCAAGAAAGATCAACAGTTCCAAACAGCTGCTATAATATGAATTTTTATCTAGGGATTTGAATTTAAATTAAAAGTAGTTCAAATCTATTTTTCACTGCATATAGTTCTAAAACAAGTGCACTTCAGAATAAAGTATTGTGTAGTGTATATGTAAGCCATGCACACACATATATATAGCAGGGATAAAATATTTTTGTAAATCAGCAAATACAAAAATAAATACCAATTTGCATATGCAATTCAATATATAGTTATGATAAAATGTGCATATGTATTTTCTTACCACATCAAGATTAACAATTTCTAATAACTGGTTATTTGCATACATAATTGCAGGAATTGCACACTCACTGTAAGTATATAAATGTATGTGCTATATATTTATTTTTTCACCTAATTTACTTTATTCTGCATTTCTTCCTTAGTTTTCTTTTTGAAATTCAACAACAACTTAGCAATTTTTTCCCTAAAACCTTGACATCTTATCTGCAAGACAAGCTCACATGTTTTCATTTTTCTGATGAAATATTTATGAGAAGTAGGATTTTCTTTATCTGAAGAAAATATATTATTTAAGTCAGAAAATATTCAGCTCCTGCAAGCATAATTGGCAAATTTAGAAACAGGCAATTCTCAAAATATTCATTCAGATGAAAATCTCTGAGGTTCACACAGCAGAACAAAACCTCAAGGTGAAAAATACTGGAATTCTCTGTAATGCTTTCTCCGAGTGGGTACTTTTCACTTGCATGAAACAACAATGATTTTATTCACGGCAACTTATACTAAAAATGCGGTTAACAGAAATAGCTTTAAGCCAAAAAACATTAAGTTTTGGAAATTATAGAACTGGGTCAAAACTTTTGATTCAGTCCAATTATTTGGGCTTTTTGTTGTTGTTGTTTACTGCATAGGAAAAGAATATCATGGAATCTAAGCATTACCATTAGCTTCATTAGTGCTCTAGACAGCAACGCTCAGAGACATTTAGGTGCCTGGTTTTCCTAGAAGTTCCCTCTTCAATATTTCAGAAGATATAGGTGTCTACATTTCCCAATGGCACTGAACCAGGAAACAGCATAATGAGTCAGTGTGTAAAGTGCTGTTGTATCTGCCTCAGAAATATGTTTAAGACATCCCCCTAAACACCTTCAGCAGCAACACACTGTCGCTGTCAGGGGCTCTATACTTCGAACCCATGTTTATCCAGTAACCTGTAAGGTGAATTCTTTGGAAAGTTCTTAACAAGGCGTAGGCAGCTGCGACAGGGTGACGGCTTTCATTTATCAGGAACTGTATAAAATGGAGGCACTTTATTAAACAAGGTAGGAACCTCCGAGAGGTCCTGCAGAGTTTCACTTTTATGGGATTCATTAGAGGGGAGTTCCACTGTGGTAGAGTTTATGGATTTGTGATTTTATGCAGTGTGCTTTTGATTTTTTGTTTTTTATCTAGATCTTCAATCAGTTTATCAGACTCAATCAGTTACTTTAATTTACTCTCTGTGCAGGCTCCTAGCTGTTGCATGACAACTTCCAAACAGAACACAGAAATATTCACTGTAGAGAACAATTATTCCTTGAAATGCTTTCTAGGATATTTTGTTCCCTCCTTCCCTCTCCCCTCTCCCCGAACCCCCTCCCCCCATATTGTTGGGGATTTAGGGGGTTGTTTTATTTTTGAAACCATACAGGAAGTGTGAAATAGTGGTCAGAAGTTCTCTTAATTTTTAGGATTCTCAATATGTTGTTCAGAAGCGTACAATAATTATTGATCATCTACAAAGGTCCAGCTTAATCGATGGACAAATTACAATGAATATTAAATGTATAGGAAAAAATAATTTGATCTTACTGTGAAAATCCACCCAGAGGCTTGTCCAGAGGCTGCCAACATATTGTTTCTTACCGGATTGCTTTAAAACCTGAACTGCATGGACAGCATTGCACGAGCAGGGAAACTGGGCAACTGGTACTTCAGTTCCCTTTGCTCTCCCTTTGCTCTCCTTTTGCTCTTCATACTGGGAAATTAGTCATAGTTGTTGTCCCTAGAACAATGCATGGGGCGAAGGGACAGGTCAAAGGCAAGGCATGGGAATGAGGTTGCTAGGTGCACTTCCCCATGTGGGCATGTTGGCCTTGCTAAAACAGCTGCCTCCCTCTGTATAATGACCAGAATAATACCAGGCGTCCTGCCTCTCCCTCCCCTTACTTGGACTGCCCAAAAGGTTGTTACCTGCTTAACGGAAGTGAGCAAAGAGACAGGATCAAAGGCAAAAATGGCCCCGGAACAGATGTGCTCAAAATAATAACTCAGCTCAGAGCATGTGCAAGGCACTAGCAGCACTGGGCTTCTCACAAAGCAACGCAGCAACGGCTTCCTTTCTATTACATGGTGAGTGGCAGAGCCACAACTGTCTCACTCCCTTCATGTAATAAATAAGGGTTAATGGGTTTCCAGTCTTTTCTCAGCCATAGGGTTTGAAACCTACCTTTTTCCATCACCCTGGGAAGTGCCCAGACCAGAAGGCTGTGATTCAGACTTCATATTTAGTTCTCCCACTGAAGCTGTGACTTGTTCAACAGCATTGGAAGGCTAATGGAGCTGGAAAGAGAACGCAGCACGCAGGAAGGAGCTGGACACTCCAAACTCATTGATGTCATGCTGTAGAGAGCAAAAATATAAACGTGTTCCCCAAAAGATCAGACCAATTCACAGATTATAGGCCCATCAGTAGCTATTCAGTACAAAGGCAGGGACAATTTCATCTTCCCCCAAAAATTTTCAAATCACTGTTGCTGAGGGAGGATGCATATCAGTAGAAGGGTATTTCTACACTTATCTTCGTTATTATACTCTTCTCTGAACACTGACTCAGAACAGGGTACCAGCTTAGGCAGACTTCGGGTCTGAACCAGAAGGGCTACTCTACTGGACCTACTTCTGGAAGGGAAGTGATTCCAATTCCCAGCCTTCTGTATACATTTGATATTAAATAGTCACTGGCAGAGGGGAGAAAGACACTGTAAATAATCCTACAATCAAGGTCAATCTAAAGTAAAAGCAAGCCCCAAACATAAGAGAAATAACTAGGTATGAGGAGTAGTTCAACCTCAAAACTACGATTGACGTTAGTGCTTCTCTTGTGCTTGCCAATGTGCCAATAGGTGCCATTTGGGCTGTCTGTAGTTGTATGATGTATGTGTTATATATACATATATATACATATATATATATATATCCCCTCACAGGGACAGAGGACAACACTTATTTCACAGATTCCACTAAACAGCTGACAGATGATAAAGACTTCTGGTCACAGACGACCTAAAGGTGAAGGTCTCCATAGCTCATTACACAGCCCCTTTAACTGCCCGGTAATCCCAAGTATTACCTGTCCATACTTTTTTCCAGTAAAGAAAGCATTCTATCACACAGAATATTTTTCTCCCTTTGCCATATCCTTCCTTCAGGACAGGAAGCCCTGCAGGCTTTTCAGGTCTGAGATACTGTATTTGGAAGGTTATTTTCATCGGCTTGCAAAGCCTGAAGCAGGCATCACTAGTCCCAAGCACACAGAGCTCTAATTGAAACTGTTCCCAGCAGCTCTGTATCTACATATACACATCCTGATTATGACAAAGCTCATGAATAATCACTGGTATGAACTTGTTCCTCATTGTCACAAGTTCAGGAAAGCAATGGGGATCCAACTGCATCACTCGATCCCTCTGCATGGCAAAGATGACAAAGTTCCCATTTTCTAAAAATAATTACATAGCCCAGTGTGAATTTGTACTGCAAAGGACGCCAGGATGACTCACAAGCACAGAGATTATGAAAATGTATTCGTGCTGCAGCATTAGGATTAAGACTGAGCAAAGCTGTAAATATTCAGCTGTACCTCAAGTTTCACCCTCAGCTCTTCAAACTTCTGGCTAACCCCATTTGCTGAATTAACTCTGCATTGTTATTTTCTTAAGCACCTGAAAATAGTCACTTCTAAAAGCTTTTACATGTGATGCAGCAAATTCCTCTGCTTCTAGTGCTGTGCTCTCCCTCCCTTGTTAACATCTGTGGTTTCTGAAGGGGTGAAATATAAGCTATGCAATTTCTGTTTTCTGACCCTATGAATCTAAAATGAGATGGTTTCATTGTCTTCCTTTATCCACACTGTAATTGCAGTTCCTGGTGTATTTCCAGAATGCACCTCTCTAGGGATCCAGACACAGTCACGGTTTATCAGAATATTTGAGTGCTTTTGTTTTCTTCATGGCTCTTGCAATGCTTTTCTTGCATATTCCTGTTCATCACTGGCACATATTGGAGTACCTCCATTGAAGTCGATGAAATGTTGTTTATTTGCACCAACTGAGGATTCTGTCTGAGACCTTTTGCTTTATCTGTGGTCAGATCAGAGCCTAAAAAGTTTGCTGTATATTTGGTCTTTTGAAGAGCATAAAAATATATATTTCATATATACATTTAAAGCTGTATATAAAATACCCAAGTAAAATTCATGTGACCACTTACTCATTGTACAAAAATAAAGGGAAGATTAATCATGCCAAGAAAATTAATTTCAATGCCCTAACTAGACCCAGACAGTGAAAAAGTATAAAATGAAATGTTGAAACATCAGGATAAGATGCAGACTAAGATCAGTAACATTCATGCTACCTTTTAAGACAACTGAAGTCTTTTCTATTGATTACTCCGGTCTTTCAGAGCAACACATTAGAAAGCACTGTCTGGCAGCATTTAGAGTTAGGTCTGGACAAACCGGACATGTCTATTTTAGTAGAAATTTGGATTTTTTTTTTCCATTTTCAGTAGAAGAAAAAAACAAATGTTTTGGTAGTACTGCTAAACAGCAAAAATTCTCACCTTGAAAGTGTTTAGGCAAAATGTTGGTTCCTATTGCAAAATAAAGTATTTATCCCAAAGTGTATTTATTTTTATCTGCTCATTATACTGTTACAATTTTATTTTACTTTATTTCACAATACACGGTAGTAGTTGTATAAAAATGTCACATCATGTCATGCCTAAAACTGATAGGTCATGGAAAAACAAAGCGCACAGCTATGCAGGCAATATTTCAAAATACAATTCTGATCTTCTCCAATTATAGCAATTCTAAACAAAAATGCTTTGAACTGGAAATTTTTTCCCCGATAATTTTCATTGAAATGGGTACACACTACAAAAAGCCTGAGTTCATCTGCACGGTGTTTTCCAACAAATTGCTTTGACAAAAATTTTTAGACTAAGTCTGTTGAAGCTGCAGAAGAAGTAGCTGATAAGTGTTACTGAAATAACAGCAAGAGTTTTTACGGTAACGAAAAGTATTTCTGCGGTTTCTACTGTTTGTAAGACAGTAGTAAACTGGAGAGGACGACCCAGCTGGTTGGGGCGGGAGCTTGCAGAGGGAGCTGGCTAACGCAGCGGGGAGCAGCAATGGCCCCGGGGGCGCCTGGCAGCACCTGGAGCTGCAGTGCCAGGGAGGGATGGCGCCAGACTCTTCCCTGCAGTGCACAGAGGGAGGGCGAGAGAGGCTGGACTGAAGACCTCTGGAGGTCCCTTCCAACCTGAATTATTCCATAGTCCTAGAAAACTGAAATATGGTGTAGAGCTACTAATCCTTTCCAGTGTAACTAAGGAGTCAAAGTACTACAAATCAGAGTTTGCTTTAATATCTATTTTTGGATACTTACAGAATATACAGTAAGTCATTGTCATGCCTGTTATTTATCTGGTAGACCCACTATTAGGAGCTGCTTTAACTAGATTGATATATTAGTGACACCCTTTTGAGAAAGGTATAAACTCAAGTCGACCAATAAAAAAGTCTTCTGGAAGCCAACTACAACTTCCAGCACAGAAAAATCTACCAGGTGCCTGAAGATAGGGCATACATGATCTATAACAGGGATACTGACGGGTCAGGAAGTGCATGAGACAGTAGATATATCATTAGGGGAGCAAGAATAGACAGACTCAGAAACTACTGGTCTGGTACTGCTCTCACTGAATCATACGCTTCAGACCTATAGATCCGAAGCTAGGCTCACTCTCAGGTTTGTAATATTAAATGTTTAATACCATAAAAGAAATCCCATGTATTTGTTATTTTCAGCTTCATACATGTTAAAACTCTCTGTGCTGTATGTTATCTAAAATATATGGCAATGTCACATGAACACCTTTGGCATTGTTTAATATGATAAAATTAATATGCCAAAATAAATACAGAAGCACAGAATAATATAAGCCAGAGCCAGAAAAGCAGGCATTTCCACAGACAAATTGCTTTCTCCCCACAACCCTTTCCTTTCACCTGCATTTTCAGAAGCCCAGGATAAAAGAGGGACCTTATGCTCTGCCTGCTCTTAGAAGCACCACATTTGGGTATTCTGAAATACTGCCTGTACCTTTCTGCAGACTTTCACCTCTCTATTCAGTTGTAATCTGATTACTTACAGGTTTTTGTAAAGTTCAGGGTAAAAGTGGAAGTAGTTACGAATAGCAGCATTACCTGTACCAGCTGGTCTTCAAAAGTTCAGATCCAGCCTTTTGTTTCTTGAGTTCAGGCCTACGAATATTCACCATGGGCTCTTTCAAATCTACGTCTCATTTTGGCCCAGTCTGGGCCCAAACATTTTGGTGCAAGCTTGTCCTCTCTCCTGTTTAGAGGAAAACAGGCAGAATGGGTGCTGTGTTCACTTGCAGAGAAAATAAGTAAACTTTTCCTTCCCTGAGAAAACAAAATTGAACCAAAACCAAGCTCATTTATGTGCAAAAGCATGCCTCTTTTTGCACAAAGTGGTACTGAAATGGATCATGTAACCCAGAACAGCTATGGCTATTCAGCAGAAAACTAAAAAGAAAGAGATTCTGGTTCAGTAAGGGTATCCCAGCAATTTGTTGGCCTTAATGATCGCCCATGATATTCCAAGACAACAGACTTAGCAGTTCCATAATTTGTACGTAATTTTGTGTACAGAATGGTACTAACAGCACTCGGCAGTACTCGGTATTATCCCTAACCATAATCATGGCCCTACTATGCTCAGTGCTGTGAACACACATGCATAATTTGCGCCTCAAGAACTTGCAGTCTAGAGACTATAGGGCAGAGTACCACAATAATCTGAGCACTTAAAAATTCATGGGGCTGCCCACTGGGGCACTGCTTCTAACTTCTGCTGTCTAAAACATAAGTGTCTTTCCAAAACTAGTTTTCTACACTCATCTCCTTCTCATCAGTGGAGTGCCATTTTCCACTGACCGACAGAGAGGCAAGATTCACTGCATCCTAAAACAGGTGGTGTGAATCACTTCATGGGAAACCTACTTAGTGCACAGGTATTTAAACTGTGACTTCAGATCCCGGAAATATTTCTCATGATTTTGGAGGAAAAACATCTAAAATGAAATTTTCATTAAAATCTCCCATCTGAAAAAAATTATCATAGAACAAACTATTAATATTAAATTCTGAATCAGCAATAGAAAGAATTCCTCTTTCATACCCTTTTCTCCTTTTCTTTATTCCTTTATGAAACTTTTTAATAGCAGAAGTGAAATCTAGGATTTTTCTTTATTTAAATTTACTTCATTTTTTGGCTCCCCTGTTTTTTTAGAAATTTTAAGTGCTCTAAAAGCATAACATTTTGGAATATATTACTGGACTTTATAACAGTGCCCACAAGCGTACTTGGAGGAGAACAATTTAAAAAAAAAAGGGGGTGAGAGCAGGAGAGAGGGGAGAAAAATGAACAAGTGAAAGGGAAAGGTGCACATTATTCCCACAGACAGAAGTGATGAAATGCCACTCATTGCATATTCTTATATTACCAAAAAAAAGGAGGGGGAAGAGGAAAGACCTCTTTTGATCACTTTTTTTTTTTCTGTAAAAAGTTATAGTTTATATCTAAAATGAGATACTTCTAAGTATTTCCAAAGACAGTAAAGAATCTTCCTATTCGAAAAACGGGCAGTTCAAAGAGGAATATGAGACCTGAGCAACCTGGCCAACAACACTCCACCTACAGACTGCCAGCAAACCTCTAGTGCAAAACTAAAATAGCAGGAGAGCAAACTAGCTTTGTACTGCTATTGATCTGCATTCAAAAACTCTCATGTATTTGACAAGGGGCTCTGCAGCAAAATAAACCACAATCATAGTATCTAATTAGATATTTAGATTAAGACACCATCTCCAGCATTAACAAGGTACTGTTAAGATTACATACTTTGGTCACTACCACTTGCCGTTTTTCCAAGTCCTGCATAACCTTCCATAATTAGGCACTGAGTAGATAAGGTGGTGAAGGCGGTGTTCAAAACCACAACTGGTGGTTAGAAATTGGCAGGATACATCTCTGAGAAAAGAGCTGAACATAACTGGAGTTATTTTGTAATGGACTTTGCAGTGAATATAGGGAATTTCAAAGACTGGATAAGCCATGAAAAGGGTAGTGTGGAGGAGAAGAGAGAGAAGAAGGGACTGCAAGTGCTATGAAGTCCTCTGAGATTTGAACTGACAGAAAATGAGGCCCTTGACTCTACCAGCTGTTTTCTGCCTTTTGTTCTGCTGTGCTCCCTCTCACACTCTTGCTTAAGAAAGTAATAACGCCGATATATCAAGTGCAGTGCAAGGAGTCCCCACAATCTAAAAGGCCAACTAAGATAAATCAGTATCAGTATATGCACTAGTTGCTGAAAATTGCTGGACTGAAGCATTCAGTTTCAATGTGTTCCTTATTCCTTTCACCTCCGTGTAGATTGAATGTTCATCAATGCACTGTTAATTGACCTCATTGTGCTCATATATGGAACTAAAGCACTGTATTACCTCAGATTTTTTCTTCTCTTTAGTTTGTATTTAATACACTTTGTGAAGTCCACATCTAGTAAGAGACTGTAATGCTGAAATACACTGTAAGGAGAGGGAAAAGATCATATAAACAAACCATTCAAGACCTGCAAAATTGAGAACATTACCAAAGATCTCAGCTTAAAAATACATTTTAGACATCACAAAAAAGCTTGTATCATGTTGCTTGTTGCTCTGAATAAAGCTAGTAAAGATTCTGACTTTACATCCATTTAAATAAAGCACATTTCTAATATCATAGTCCACTGAGTTCTGTAACATCTTCCTGTATTGATTTCTAATGTCCCACATTTAATACTCATCCCGTTTGTTCTAGTGGATAATTGGAATAGTATTTATGGGCCAGAAATGCTTTGAACAGCTCCTGTCCTTGAGAAGCCATTCACTGCACTTGTGTTCCTCGTATGCTGTGCTCTATCATATTTAAGAAGCTGCTCACATGTGCAGTACTCTGTCTTCAACTCCAGGGTAAAGAAGTTTTCTCTTCCAAACCAGAAAACATACTATATCTATATTTTCCCTTATAATTACCAAAAAATTTCTGGTGAGCAGTTCTCCTGAGTGCATAGTGCACAGCACATCTCTCAACACTGGACAAAAATATAACAGATGTTTAAGGGAGTGGGGAAATGTGCTATATCAACAGTTGCTGGAAGATAGTACAAAGAAACAAGCCAGCAAAAACTTCTTACTTTTTACACCAATTTTTTAATGGGGATTATTTGTTTCAGTGATGTGATAGTACTAAATACAACTTTGATAATGGTTCTACTGTCAAGAGTGGGTGCCTCTAGCTGAGTGGCACCATGGCAGCAGCAGCAGCATCCTGAGATGTTTGGACTGACAGGCTGCCTTCTGCCATGATTGGAGTTAATTAAGCCAAGGCCTCACATCTATGGGAACCTTGGCTGTTTTGCCTTTATCTTTTTCTCTTAGAGTCCAGGTACTTTCTAGACAAGCTGCTAAATCTATTTGTTTTCCCTGTGTTTGGATAACATGAAAGCAGGCTTGGATTGAGTGGAGTATTTTTCAAGAAAATTAGAATACAGCATGGGAGAAGTCAAAGTTTAGCTGAATGGAGGCTAACGCAGTCAATAAATAGTAAGTCTTACCTGATTAATGAATCGTCGTGTAAAAATATTTGGAACTTTGTACCCATAACAGAGGTGTCCCTCATTCCCTCATCTTCCTATCACAGCATTAGACAGGGTGCTGCCTTTGTGGTAGTCTGAATATTTTTAAAGGAATTTATCAACAGGTTCATATATTCTTTATGAATCTTCCCAAGCTGCAATTGGTCTATGGTCTTCTGAAAACGTGTTTTCCTCTCTAGTGTGCAATCTCAGTTCTTCCTGCCCAATCTTACAAAGTTCTTCCATGACCAATTAATGAATGGGAGTGGGAATAAGTCACGTCCTCTGCACATTGTCACACAAGAGAAGAGGTCAATGCCAAAACCCCTGAAAGGGTCTTCTTTGCTCCGCTCAGCCTGTACTTCTCTGGCAATTCCTGCCATTCCACTTCACCATTTTTCAGAAGACTCCAAAGACTGCAGTCACCTTTGTAACCAAAGGGGAAACATCCCCCGCCCCCCGCACACACCTACCTTTCTTTGCATGAAATGAAAAAGACCTCCACAAGGTGTAAGCCAGTTTCAGCGAGGGAAAATACCCTGTGGAGGGCACACCCGTCAGTCTCCATCCAGTAGATCTGCGGGCCTATCCGGAACAGATATTCATTTTTGTAGGTTCAGAAAGATCAAAACCGAGTGCTTTGTCCTTCCAGTATTACAGAAAACTCCTTGCAAAAAGCTAAGTATAAAACAGGCAAGGTCAGATAAGCCTAAAGCAAGCAGCTAAATACCCTAGCAGTAGAAATCCTGAGGCCATCTCCTATACAGCAAATTCCATTAAAATACAGATTTTATCAGAGATGAGATGCAGCTTTGTACTTTAAAACCTGCCTATTGTGCAGGAGGCATTAGGCTTATATCAGTCTAGCTGAGATTTTTACGGCAATTTAGATGATGGCAAATTATTAATGTAGAAGTACCTGTTTTATCGAGAATATCACTTTGCTTTTTGTCTGATTTTCATCATGTGCCATATGTACAGCAGTTGTTCAAAGGCTGTGAATGCATTATCTCTTGCCTCGCTTATCATTTCTGAGAAAAGATGAGAAGGAGGAGAAGGGAGGGACGGCAGATGATGATCAGAAATAGAAAAGTTTCAAAGTAGATCAAATAAGGCCGTCCATAATAGTTTCCCTTTAATGAAAGGCATCATTAATCAGTTGTAATGGTAGCTGAGTGTTGGTGAAACAGTACATAAGCTGAAAAAGCAGTCTCCAAGAAAAAACGTATACTGCATTGCAGCAGACGTGCTTCTCATTAGTTTAACTCAAATGTCACTAGTTAAGGGGGAAAGCGATTTAACAACTGTCCTACATGGTAACACTCCAGCTTCTTCATCAGGCTCTCTTCAGGCACCTGACTAGCGTACATGTCCAGCATCACAACAGCATATATGTGTTCTTTATGAATACTTTCCTGACCTTCCCCCCTTCCCCCGAAAAAAGGGAGGGGAGGATACACAGAGCTCTATTACAGCCTGTGAATGAAAAATTGCTTTGCTTGAAGCTGCACTGGAAGGATTTACACCGCAGCACAGCTAGGAAATAGCTGGGAGACAAATGGATCGATAGTATTGATGATATTGGTACACCAAATGTCCGAGGCCCGAGCACCTGTGCTTGGCACAGGGCTGAAACCTACGTAAAATGCATCATGCTGCAGTTTTTCCCCAGCCTGTTGTAAACTGTTCCTCCACCCAAAGCCTTGGTACCCACCTCGCTTATTTTCTTACATTAAGGGGAGATTTCCAGGGCCGTTAAACAGAGAAACTGGCTTACCTTTTCAACCGTCTCTTTAGAAAGTTCCTATAATTAACCTCCTCTTAAGGGTGCCATATATAAGTACTGGTGGTAAAAGTGTCGTCTCATCCTCCTCTGCTGTTTTGCAGAGACAGACCATAAAGATGTTAATAATCTGTCCTGTGATTTCAATGTGTGCCAGAGGAGAAAGCTGGAGGTGGAACAGAGAAGCTCCAGGAGAGCAGACTGATCATTCTGAAAAGTCCCTCAAAACAAGACTAAGAGATCAGGGATTAAAAAGAGCTTAAAGCTCTCCTAACTTTGATTCTTCTGAAGTCAAGAAACAGGACCTGAAGGAAACCGCTGCTCCTCCGAGCCATCCCAGAACTCTCTTTTCTCAAATCTCTCCCATGTCTTCTACATTCACAAAGCCCATATCAATGATTAAGAATATTATCTTTTAAACACTAACGTTATCACTAAAACCAGATATTTAAATTATATGAATATAAACATTAACAGACGTGTAATCCAGGAAAATCTAACAATTTCAAAATTTACAATAGCACAATAATGGGAAACCCTCAGTGCCAAATGCTGAGCTATAAAAATAGGACTTCATTTCATACAGTCATCAGCATTAAATTATCATATACAGATCAAGTTAAAAGACAACTAATGCAAATGAAAGTATCTTGAAAAAGTAAACTTAAAACTGTGCTGACAGAGGCAACAGAATGGCCACTGTTGTTCAATCAAACATGTGTGTCTTTTGAAACACACAGAAAAGCTTTAAGGAGCACCAAAGGTTAAAAAGGACACAGAGAAGTACTGAAAAATTAAGCTCGGACTTACAAAATGAGTGGCTTTGCTCCACTGTTGGCATTTTTCAGAAATTTTTCGCACAGAGGGAAAAGACACTATTTCTGAAAAGAATTAAGACTCTGGATTTGAGGAATTCCTCCTGCTTTTGCTAGAACTTCAGTTAATTTACAACTATTCCTCTGAATTTGCTACTTTGCAGAGATAATGGAAGCATGAAACAAAGGCTTGACTTGATCAACACACTAATTGATAGGCATCAAACAGGACCTTTTCCACTCTTCTTTTAACAGCAGTACTAAAACTGAAAGACCAAAGGTATATTTAGGCCAAAATCTGGAACTAATGTATAAGGAAAGACTGTAGAAAAAGTACAAGGCTACCTGGATACTCTCCACTGTATGTCCTCTAAGCTTTTAGAAATTTAGGGCTTGCTGAGCCAGATGTTATATCTATCTCTGTGTTTAACAGCCCTTGAGGATCTTTTTTCCCACAAATCCAGGTAATAGTTTTTTGAAGCAAGTTATACTTTTAGCATCCACAACATCCTGTGGCTTCCCCAGATTAATTGTAGTGCATGCAAAAAAGAATTCATTTCATTTATTTTAAATCCCAGTTACCTGATCATGCAAGGCAGGTAGGTAATGAAACTGTGAGAAACAGTAAATAACCATTTCCAATCTGATTTTTGTCTATCTTCCACAATTTCATAGACTTCTGTCATCTTTCCTTCACTCACCTCTTTTCCAAGTTGTAGCATGCTAATCTAATCTCTCCTCACATCAAATCTGGTACCTTTACTAAAACAGCTTGCTAATTTTATGTGATATTGCCATTCACCTACAGATTCTAGGAAACATGGGAGCAATCAGTTGCATTATTTTTGTCCTATGGCTTAGTTCACAGCAATTCTCCTCTCATTTCTCTGTCAAATCAAGTTTTACCAAAAAGAGGAGGAAAGTGAGAAGAGCCATGCCAGATCTCTGCAGCTGCCCATCACGCCCTGGAGTGCCTGTGCCTCAACAGGGACCTTGTTGATGCTGTGGCAAAATGTAAGCATCAAACAAGCAGCCCACAAAGCCATAACATTTCTACTCAATGTTTTATACAAGAAATAATAATCTTCAGCAGCTCATTAGCAAATTACTCATGTACTTTTCAGAAGCACTTCGGGAAAGGGCCAAATACACTCCGGGTCCGGCTGCCTTAACAGATATTTCTGGTTGCCACCAAGCTCTGCTGAGAATGAGCTCTGCTAGAACTGTGAAGTGGCTGAGATTCAGACATTTCATGTGCCAAAGCAAAAAATGTACCCTTTCACCTCCAGCACTAGGGAAGAGTTGGTTTTCA